TTTGTCTTCAATTTGCGTCGACATCCCTGGCCAGAACAGCACATCTCTCGCTCGCTGTTTGCACCTGACAACCCCAAAGTGCCCCTCGTGTATTTTGTCTAACATTTCTGACTGCAGGGTGTGAGGCACTATCACTTTCGGCCCTTTAAACAGCAGTGCATCAATGACTGAAATTTCGTCTTTGTACGCCCAGTACTGTCGGAGGTCTGGGGACAGCTTTGCTTTGCTATCTGGCCATCCCTCTAGTACTGTGTCAGTTAGGGACTGCAATACTGGGTCTGCTGCTGTAGCTTGTTGAAGCTCTAGATACTTTTCCTGTGAGATGGGAAGATAAGCTGTGAGACACACGTCACTGACTTCTAAGTCCTCCACGAGCGTTTCTTTGGTTTCTGGCAAGTAATGGCGACTAAGGGTATCTGCTAGTTGCATTTCATTCCCAGGCTTGTATGTAACCTTGAGGTCATACCTTTGTAGGCTCATCATCATCTTCTGCAAACGCGGAGGTGCCTGATGAAGATTCTGTGCTAAGATCCTCTCGAGCGGTTTATGGTCAGACTCCACGTGCACTGTTCGTCCATAAACGTACTGATGAAACTTCTGGCAGGCGTAAACTATTGCAAGTAACTCCTTCTCAATCTGTGCAAACTTCTGCTGCGCAACAGTCAAGGCTCTAGAAGCATATGCAATCGGCTTGTTCTCTTGTAGCAATACTGCACCAAGTCCGTTAGCACTAGCGTCAACGTTGAGGGTGACAGGCTTGTTTGGGTTGTAGTAGCCCAGTACCGGAGATTTGGTTACCATCTGCTTGAGTGTTTGAAAACTTTGTTGCTGTTCTTTGTTCCAACGCCAGACTACTCCTTTCTCCAATAGTCGTCTGAGAGGTGCACTTTCAGCAGCTAGATTAGGCAGAAATTTTCCAAGGTATTGGATAAAACCTAGGAATGTTCTGAGTTCTTTAACATTCTGTGGTGGTTGCATCGCTTCGACTGCTCTGACCTTCTCTGGGTCCGGTTTCAAACCCTCACTGGTCAGGAGATGTCCTACATAGGGGACATGGTCTTTCCTCACTTGGCATTTCTTGCTATTTAACTTGAGACCAACCTCTCTCGCTCTGTTTAGGACTTGTCTCAACCTTGCATCGTGCTGGTCAGTACTGCTGCCCCAGATCAGTATGTCATCCACAATTGCTCCTGCAATGGGCTCTGCTCCAGGTATGCCCTCCAACATCTCGGTCATGTATCTCTGGAACACCTCAGGGGCCGATTTGATTCCGAAAGGGAGCCTTTTAAATCGATACCTCCCGAAGGGGGTGTTGAACGTGCACAACTTCGAGCTTTCCTCGTCTAATTCTATTTGCCAGAATCCTGATGTTGCATCCAACACAGAGAATACTTTGGCATCTGGCATGTCTGCAACTATCTCTTCAATCGTCTTCATAGGGAAGTGTTCTCGTTTAACAGCTAGGTTTAAATCTCTAGGATCTAAACAGATGCGAATCTTATTCGGCTTGACCACAGTAACCATACTGCTAACCCATGCTGTTGGTTCGATTTGCCTCTCTATCACTCCTGCTTTCACCATTCTTTCAAGCTCATCTTTGATTCTGCCCTTCAGTGCAACCGGTACCTTTCTTGGTGGATGTACCACTGGGATGACTGTTGGGTCAATTCTGATGGTATGTTTACCTGGTAAACATCCAAGCCCGTGGAAGAGATCTGGATATTCTAGTAGAATATCTGGACGTGCATCAGTAATAACCGACGAGTCTATGACAGAGTTCACCCGCTGGACTAAATTGAGATCCTTGCATGCTTGTGCACTTAAGACGGACAGCACATCACCTTCTGCAATGTAAAACTTCATGGGGTACGTTTTGTCCTTGTGTTCGCATAAGAGTGTTGTGCAACCATGAATAGGTATCTGGTGACCAGAGTATGACCTTAACTTGGCTGCTGTAGGTTGAATTGTTGTCTCCCTCCTAGAGTCTTTAACGTCGTTAAAGACATAACATTGCATTTCGCTCCAGTGTCTAACTGAACAATAACTTTCTTGTTGTTGACGGTCAGCTCTTCGCGCCATTCACTGAGGCTAACTGCATTTACTGCGTCTATACAACCCACATAAAACATGTCATCTTCACTTTCGCTGCTGGTTTCTTTTGTCCGAGCTTCATCGCCACTTCCGCATTTTTCCACATATCGGACAGTTCTTCTCTTCTCTCTTGACTTGCAGACTTTGGCAAAATGATTTAACTTGGCACAAATCAGACATTTCTTTCCCTTAGCCGGACATTCTGCTTTACTGCTGTGTATGTAGCCACACATTCCACACTCCTGTTCAACTCCCGGTCTGCCAAGTTTCCTCTTGTCCAATTTCTCACTCTGCCTTCGAGCTTGATTCACTTTAACAGCGTGAATCTTGCTGTCTTCGTCCTCCATGGTTTTGAGTTGCGTTTGAGACATTTCCAGTGTGAGTGCAATTTCAACCGCTTTCTCTAACGACAATTCAGATCCTTCTTGTATCAACTTTTCTCGCACTTTCTTGGAGTTGCAACCAATGACAATTCTATCCCTGACCATTTCGTCTGGATCTGCATATCCACAATCTTTCACTAGCAGCTTGAGGTCAATAAGAAACTGTTCGAATGGCTCATTATCGCCCTGAACTTTCTTGTGAAACTTGTATCTAGCAAATACCTTATTCGATTTCGGCTTCACATGGGCTTCGAACCTCTCATAGTGGCTGTTAAGCTTTTTCTCCTCTCCATCTCCAAACGTCCAGGTCTGATATATGTCTCTTCCCTTTTCTCCTACCCAAATCATGAGATAATTGCATTTCTGTTCCTCCGATTTCGACTTTAACGGTCCGCCAAACATAAATTCAAGATGGCGTCGAAACGACTTCCACGCAGTCGGTAAATCCTTGCTGTTCCAGTCCATTTTTGGTGTATTTGCCGATGACATTTCCTCCATTTCTTCTTAAACGTGATACGGAACTCTTTTTCACGATGGATGGCTACTCTAACGGGTCATTCAACTCGATTTACTCCTGGTACCATGTAATGTACGACCAAACCACACCATGTTGAGTGTAACAACTGATTTTAATTCGTTACCCGTCATGCCTAGTACAGGCATGGCATTAACATACATCACAGACACCATCGGGACCTTCCCAAGTGTCCTCTTAATTGGGGTTCCGCTTAATAGAGGTTTCAATGTGCAAGACGTTAATTTCGGGATCTGGTTTAGTGTCCGCTTTATAGAGGGTGTCCTCTTAATTGGGGGGCCGCTTAGTAGAGGTTTCAGAGTATCTCACTTCAATTTTAACATCCGAAATAAACCCCAAACGCCAAACAAAACTCTCTGACTTAACAAATAAATATACTGCGAATATTTTTTTATCGCTAGCAATTTTTGTCTGATTTAACAAAAGGCTCATCTACCTGTAAACAAGGAACAGGGACACCTAACGACGGTTTCGATCCTCCTCCAATACATTGGCTGTCTAGAGCACTTTTACTTCTCTAGAAATGCATTCTAAGCGGCTCTATAAAATTTTTATCTGTTCGGTCTCCTAGGGGAACGAGGGTTTGAGTATTATTTCCCCAAAATTTCCGATGCAATTTGACCTATTACGACAGTGAGATATTTCCTGATTCCACTCTCCATCGCATTTTTGAATCCGAAAGTTTTAGGTTTCCTTTCTTCTACGAAAAATAGCCTAACTTTGAAGAGAAATAGAAGAAGTAAAGTTAAGGAAATCGTAGAAATTTATCAGACAAGCTTCGAAAATTGTACATGAATGCAACGGTCATCTAGAATTTTTTAGTCTTCCCCAAGTAATAGAAAAATCTAGGAAATATTTGCTTCTCCGAACAGAGTATTTTACAGAAAACAGTCTTTGAGTGCGCCATGAAGGAAATGCACCCAGTTGTAAGCCTTCACGCCAGGACATAAGTTCCCCTCTATTTTGTCATGAAATGAATTCAAGTTTTTACGGTGTTTTGAAGCTTTAAAATAGCCTGTTCGGATCAATTTATAGGTTCCTGGGAAACAGCCCACCTACCCCTCCCCTAAGCCAACATTATCACTTACCTCTCACTTAGGGCAAAATGTTGACTTAGGGGAGGGGTAGGTGGGAAGTTTCCCAGAAACTTAAATTGATCCTCCTGTTCTGCGTATAAGCCCCACCCCTCCCCCGTTAATAAGCCCTCTTAAAACCCCTTATGAAGTTTTGTGAGCCTTAGAACTCTTGAGCAGAAGTTTACATGATATGAAATATAAAACAATGCTGTTGCAAAAATAAATGTTTCTGCAAGTCTGTGCTAGAACCTTCAAGCTCTCTGAAAAGTTACATCTTCTAGGTGTGACAATTGACAGCAAACTGTACTTTAAATTCCACATTAACGGCTCTTGTAATACAGCAAGTCAAATGCTTCGGGTTTTAATTTAGACTGAAATAAAGTGAAGGCTGACGGTGTGCTTATTTTACTTAGTCCCTTTCCTCATCAGGAAGATCCTAGAATGCGGATTGTCCTAGCGTATATGTTTTCTGTATTCGGCTTACATGCAAAGGTTTGTCTTTGTCCCTAGCAACCTCATCCCCTGCGCGCTTTTCACCCTGGCCGGACGAGGTTATGTCCCTAGCGCGTCTAGGAACGAGATTAGCCGATAACTTGAAGCCGTTTGGTCGAGATGACGGATTAGAAGTGAGAACGTCCTATCCCGCGCGCGCACAACAGATGACTTAGTGTGAATCGTAGTGTTTCTTTGTGACGTGAGTTACGTGCGCTTAGTCTTCAGTAAAGAGGAAAAGATAAAGAAAAAAAGGCGGTAATATTAACGTTAAAGCCTGTAAAAGGTAAAAAAGTAAGAGGTAAAATACATTGCAGTCCAGTCCATTGAAGAAAATTGTGACACGGGCCGCAGAGGACGCTGGTATTGTAAAGCGAGGCACCAAAGCTTTTATGTATGTGGCAAAATGTTGTGAACCAGTACATGGCTGATACTGGTCGGGAAGAAAAGCTGGCTGCGGCCAGAAAAAAGGTACAGCAGCGACGTAAACGCTTTTTATGTAAATAATATTCACTTAGGTTCACTATTACGAGAGCTGATTTTCCTGTCGTGCATTTCAGCTGAAGAAATTTCAACAAAAACGTACACCTTCTTCGAGCCCGGCCGTGAGAGAAGTCAAGCATCGAGTTGTTGATTCTTCGATTTACTCGAGGAATTCATCGGAATCCGATGGAAACCCGCCAACGGCAGAGAGATTTGTAAGTAGTAAATACATTTATAGAATAATTGTCTAAAGATCATAAGCACTTTGTCCCTTAATTACAGTTAGTGTGGGAGAGCGTTTTGAACTATTATGTATCATTAGCACTGCGTGAATTTCAAAGTTCTTAGTAATCCTTTGCTTATATTTGCCTTAAAACTCTTTGATTAGCTCCTCCTGGTATGTTCAATACACCTTAGACTGCCCATAATGTTTATTTATCGCTGATAATGTTGAACGTTGCCTTCGTCCACTTGTAGCTGAGTGATCGCTTCCAAGCTACAGAGGTCTGCTTCAATGTTTATATTAATACTCAGCTGATTGCACCAAGAACATATTTGGCCATTTTTGGTTGGTTGATGAAAAGGGGTCAGATTTTAGCCTGCAAATTGAATATGATTGTCGCCAACTTAACCGCTAGCTGTCGTTACCCATCAATAACAAAATCGTTTGTGTTTCCACAAATCTCGTGGATATTCCTTGGATTTTTGACTATTTTTTAGTAGGAATTCGAATTCAGTCTGCGTTTTATTGATGAAAAATTGTATTGCCACAGTGATCATGCATCAGAAAAACTATTTTGTTTATTTCCGGTAGACTATATAAAAAGATTTGGATTTTGATGGCATCTATTGAATTCATCAAAGAGATAACCAGTTAGTGTAGAAAGTGTACATGTAGCAATTGAAGTATTTAGATGATTATTCTGCACATAGTTAGCATCACACTGCAGAATACTTTGCTTTTTGAAGACACTGGTTATGAAGTGCTCTATGAAAAAATAAAAGCATTTTTTACTCTGACAAACAATTACCGGTATGCCTTCTAAAAGCTGGGTACATGCTTTGTGGTTATAAGAAAAAATTAAAGACTAGAACCTAATTATCGTAGAAGCTGGCTGCAAGGTACAGTAGTAGACAGTAAAAAAAGTACATGCTTGATACAATGTATGTGTTGTGGCTCAGTTTTATCCCTGGTTTAAATTCAAATTTTCTTTGTCGTAGGGTATCATAGTTTTAAACCAAAAAGAATTAAACAAGGGATAAAATTCAACCACAATAATTTTTTATATGCATCGATACAACTGCACTGCTCTAGAATATGTCTTAATAGGTACTTGTTACTCAGTATGCACTATGCAGTACATCCCCAATTCTTTTATTGGCTGATTATATTATTGGTAGCATGGCCTTCTAACCTTAATTCCAATGTACATGTATTCCTTGCAAGATACAGTTCTACAAAGTGCTTATTTTCTGGTTCCACTGCATCTCTGAAACATTACTGTTTTTCTGGGTTAATTACATGTATGTTGAGTGCGAATCATACTAATATATGTAGGCGTAGTCCTAAATTGTACTTTGTTGGCAGCCGCTAACCTTGACATTGGCCGAGGTGATTATTGAGCTACTGCAGTATGATGATGAGTTCTGTGCAGTTTAATATGAAAGTAGATTTTTGTGTGTGTAAAAAAATTGTAAATTGTAATATTATTTATTTCCCACGAAGTACTTAGGAGTTCTTAGGAACTCCTTTAAACATGTCCATGCTTTCCAGATTGAACTGGAGTTTGGAAGTATTGTATTTTGAGGAGAGAGGAGAACCGGAGTACCCAAAGAAAAACCTCTCGGAGCAAGGGAGAGAACCAACAACAAACTTAACCCACTGATGGCGTTTATGGCGGGATTTAAACCCAGGCCACATTGGTGGTAGGCGAGTGCCCTCCCCACAGTGTCACCCTTGCTTGTTTGTAGTTGACAGATTGAAAATCTGCTGCCTGTAGTCTCTACAACTGTTTGCATTATTAAGTAACCATTATTTTTGTTTCTTTTTTCTCAAGTCAAATGTTGAAGAAAATGACCCATGTTCATCATCACCCATTAATGGGTAAGTGTCCAAAACAATTAGACTGGGTGCAGTTTCTTATTTTCCCTTTCAAAGTTGCTCCACTCATGCACATGAGTGCAAAACCTCAAGCTTCTGGCAATAAAATGAAGGCGTAAGCCAAAGATGAAAATAATATAAGAGAATGCTGTCTGTTTGAGGCCAACTATTCCAGAGTAACTTAATATGTGGTTATATATATAGAACATAAACAACTGAAAAGGTACTCTTTCTTTAAATCCTGTAAGATTACCATGACTTCCTAAAGGAAATTTACAATGTACACTGTAATTAGTTGCAATGCAGGGTGCAAAGAAAGTCAGTTTTACAGCTTGCCACTTGGGCAAGCTGCGTAGCCCAAAAGTCATTTCAACTAGCACAAATAAAAAAAGAAATAAGAAGAGGAAGATTGATTGCCCCAAAATACTTCACTTTTCCATCGGGCAAGTTACACAGTGTAAGAACAGAATTCACTACCCCAACAGCAAAATCCACTAGCCCTGGGATATCAGACACTACTTTCTTTGCATGCTGCAATGGACTTGTCCTTGTGACTATTTTTGTCACTTGCTATCTCACACCAGACTTAACCACTGGCAAAGACCTGTCATTGAACTGTCACCAGCTATAAAATAGTCACCTACTCCGTTTGTGGGCTCATGAAGGTTTTTTTTAACTACAAAAGATTCCACTGTACATAGTCCATCTTTGCTTATTTCCTTCTAATCCCTTTTTACAACATTGTTGTCTGCAACCACAGGTATGAGAACTAGATGGATTTCAAGAGAAAAGACTGATTGCAAGCAGTAATATGTTCATGATGGTCGTTAAATTTTTATTCCTCTGAGATCAAAAGGCACTAATGTTTAATATCAACAAGTGACTTACTGTGTCTGGATATGGTGCTTGCACATACATGTACATAATACTTTCAATTTTCTTGGAAACTACGGTCTTGGACAAAATAAAACGGAACAGCAAACCCCCTTCCCACCTCCCCCAAATCAAGGATGAAGCCACGCAAAAGCCATAACACCCCATTTTCCCATCCTTGATTTTGGGGGGAAGGGAGGTCTAAATTTCCCATTTATTTTGTCCAAGATTGTAGCCTCTGCACTGTATAATATTGTTTGATATCTTATTTTGGCCAGAAAAAAATCACAGACACTTTTCTTTTGTTTTTGCAGCACCTACAATCCAGGGGAGCACAGTACTCAAACACATCAGGTCAGTTTGTACTAAATGTGGCTCTTTGATATACATGTTTGCAGGGTTTTTGATGAAAGCTGAAAATTGGCAGTCAACCATCGCCTATAATAATTTTCAATTAATTATTATGCAAAATTGCAACATCGCAGAATACCAGGAGCCCTGTATAGGGCTATATACCATTATCTGTTAAGAATTTTAGAGAAAATGGTTGTTATAACATCCCTCCCAATCCATGAAATAAATCAAATCAATTTTCCTTGGAGCACATATAGAGAACCAAACCATAAGTGTACATAATTGCCAATGAGCAGCCTCATGAAGACACAAGGCTACAAGGCGGCCGCCTAATAGAGCCATGCGTGATTGTTTCAGGGCCAGAAAAAATCTCAAATCGATGTAACATATGAGTAATGTAAGGTAACCATGACGTAATGCAGGACCGAGAATGAAGTGATTTCAAGCAAACACGTGATACAGATCAGAAAATCCATGAGCCGTGTGCATGTTTTGAGTCCCTTGCTTATCCTGTCTTCAACCAATCGTCAGGTGGATCATTTCCATCCTACGTAGGCATTTGCCTGCTGGAATTCTTTTCCCTGTTCATTAACCCAATGGCTTTACCACGCTGGTGGGCCCCAATAAGGGTGAAACAGCTGTCTGTGGCTGCCACTGCCCGCATGATATGGCTGTGCGCATGCGTGAGATACTGGCCCGGCCATGGGTTGGCGTATGTGTCCCCCTTGCTTTAAGTTTGCATTGTTTGCACTATTTTCAATGCAATCGAATTAAGTTCAATCTATTTTTCATCAATTACTGTGTTTCATGACATTTCTAAACAAATTCAACAGCACGTGTGTATAGATAAAATCTGTGCTCGTTGGAACTTAGCGATAGCTACACATTTATAACTATTTATGTACATGTATGGTAAAGCAATCAATATAAAACTAATCTAGCAGTAACAAGTAATCTTGATTTAAGTACTAGTATTATCATTGAATATTATTATGCTAAAATCTCAGTCACAGCCACCTATATGCCACCATTAGATTCCCTTACACAGTGTAGAATAAGTTTTTATTGAAACTCCACTCCTGTTCTAAAATAATATTATGATGTGCAAAATATTATCATCTCAATGCGTTCTCTTTGCAGACACTTGAACACAATCACAGAGATGGGTTGGTTTCTTCTGTAGCAAATGACAGGTAACTTGTTGCATGTACACATAACTTTCAGCTGTATTATTATCATAATTTATTTTAAAAAGATACCCCAGAGTTTTAAATGTAATGTTTGTTGCAAACTGTGTTAATGAAGTATTATAATTTTTTTCTTTAGAGAATACTCAACCACTGAAAAAATCAAGCAACTTGTGAGTATTATTGCATATATTATGCACTTTTCATTAGAAGAGTGAGATCCAGTTAATGTTATACAGTTGTACATGTATTGACATTTGTAACATTTTAAATGTGTCCATTAACGTCCAAAAAGTACATATCTGTATTACATAATGTATTTGGGCTCTCAAATAAATGCAAATACAATTGTAGCCTCTAACTTCTAAGCAGTAGAACTTTGTTTACTCTCTTAACTGTAGCGTAGCCACAAATTGAAGAAGACTGTTGTACATGTAAATTGTTTAAAATAGTTGCAAAAGTACACTAAAATGTTCACTCGGTGTTTCTAACTTGGCAGTACAATAATATTATTCAGAATGACTCATGACTATTGGTCTCTTCTCAAGGCCTTGCTCTAAGAAAAATTAAAGGAAACCCAGTTCTCTAGTGAACTTGCAAAATCCAGGGTACCTGGCATGTGATTTCTACATTGTGTAGGTGAAAACTATGATTTTCTAGTTGCCTGGGAGCAAATGTTGTATAGGTGTAAGGGACAGAATTCACTAACCTTTTCTCAAAATCCTCCAGCCCATGGGAAATGACTATTTTTGCACACTCCTATGCTACATGATTTCCTCCAACTTGAGCAAATTTGGGGTGACCATTGTCGGATTACTGTGTGCCTTTGTTGCCTTATGACCATGTATCGTTTCCTGTTTTGCTAGACCTTATTGCCCCATTTGATAAGGTAGATCACAAGATCCTAATACATACAAATGTTCATTTAGACTGCAAACGGAGTTTGCCCTTGGAGGTAGAGTTCTTGTGGTTCGTTTTGTATGTAACCCATCGATCACTGCAAGTTTCGGTCGAGGGTGTGATGTCTGATGTCTTTGATCTGTATTTGGGAGCTCCTCAAGGGTCCTGTCTTGGCCCTGGAGCCAAAATAATAATTTGGCCCCTTGGCCTCAAGTTTATTAGCTCTGGCTATTTAGTGTCAACTTAATTTTTTATCTTACCTTATCTATCTTATCCTCTACTGTTTTCGATCTACGCCAGCAAGATATTTGATGTTATTCGATCACAGCTTCCCTCTGTGGATGCATACGCTAATGACACTGAGCTGTATACAGTCTAACCTCTCCTTATGGACACCTCTATGATACGGACACCTCTCTATTACGGACAGTTCGTTTGGTCCCAGAAATGCCAAAAATCACACATTCCCTACCTCTATAATACGGACACCTCTGTAAAGCGGACACTTGGTTCTGTCCCGCAGTGTCCGCAGGGTTGTCACTAAGATTTCAAGTTGCCGGATAAATACATCAAGTAGGCGGGGAATCAAATGGCTAGGGATTTCTTTTGGTTCTATTTTTCTTCTATTGTCCAATAAAAGTAGCCGGGGACCAGTGTCTTAGTAGCCGGGGAAAATCCCCGGCCCCCGGCTCTTAATGACAACCCTGGTCCGTATTAAAGAGGTTTGACTGTACTTTATTTTGTGCTAAGTATTGATGATCAGATCTCTGCCCTTGCTGCTGTGGAACACTCTATCAGCAACATAAGGTCTTGAATGCTTCATGATAAATTTAAGCTTAAAAATGAAAAAAAGTGAATTCTTAATCATTGCTACCATCAGCAACTAGTAAAAAGTTTCTATTAACGCGATTAGGGTTTGGTCTATGAATGTTTCCTTGGCTGGTGAAGCTGGTGAAGCTGGTGTGTGGCTTGATTCAAAGCTTACTATATGTACACACATTAATAAGACGTGTGGAGCAGCATTTTTGTACCTTTACAATATTTGTCACATCAGGAAATTCCTAGCTAAAGAAAGCGCTGAAACCCTTATTCATGCATTCATTACTAGCAGGCTTGATTACTGCAACAGTTTATTCTACGGTTTGTGTAACAGTCTTATCTTAAAGCTTCATCGAATTCAAAAGGCATGTGCTCACTTAGTATATTCAGTGCCTAAATTCTGTCACATCATGCCAATATAAAGGGAGTTGCACTGGCTACCTACAAAGAGGCAGGACATTGTGTTTAAGATAATTTTAACAGTACTTTTAAGATTTTAAATAATTTGGCTCCTTCTTATTTTTCTTGTCTTATTTGTGTTGCATCGCCTTCAAGTTACAATCTTCCCAGTTCTTGTGATGGAACCTTACTTCACTTTCCTCCAATGAAATCATCAAAGACCCTTGGGATCGCGCTGTTATGTTCGCTGCCCCAAAGTTGTGGGACAGTCTACCACAGGGCATAAGGATGACCACGACTCTATCATGATTGTTTTAAAATTAAACTGAAAACATTAATTTTTATTTTCCCAAGTTTTTTTCATGACTATGTTCTTCTTTTATGTACTTACATAATAATTATTATTATTAATTACTGATTTTTGTAGAACTTCTGTTAAGTGCAATTGATTATTATTATTACTTTTTATTATTATGCTAATGATATTCAACTGAGTTTTTGATTTGTTCTTCTTCAGTGTACTCAAATCAATGGACTCATGAGCCAGGTAAGAAATAACAAACAGACTCAGGGTTTTCAATAATAAATTGAAGTAGCCAGCAGCAGGTTTGAAAAGTATCAAGTCAATGATTGATATTTTGGAAACTGTTGTGTAGTACTATTATAAATTATAATAAATTATTATGAATGATTAGAAGCCAAAATTGAATTACCAATAATTTGTATTCATGTTGAATTGAACATGACTGCATACCAACTGATCATGATGTGTTGTAAACTGGTACTATTTGGCATTATTTTTTTCCT